GACGGTCAGTGCCGGTTCGCAGGACTCTTTAGACAGGGTAACCGTGGACGACCCCGAGGAGGCATGGAAGGAGGAGGGGGATAGGGACGGGGAGGACCTCGAGGTCAATGATGACCAGCTGAAGCAAGCCTTTCCTGTAAATAGTGAGGAATTGAGGGATTTTACGCACGCACCAATGGAAAAACGGGTGTTCGCGACTTCTTCTGAGGTAAATGACCTTGACGATATTATGAATGCCACGATATCGATTTGCAGCAGTGATGAGCATGTACCTAGATATGTATGTGCCACAATATGGCAGGACTCCCCAGTGAGCTTTTCGGCCAAAAAATAAAAGCCAATGATGTTAAAGATCCTATGAGCTTGACATGTGATTTCATAGTTATTGATGCATCGAAACATGTGATTTTATGGTTGAAAGTTGCCTCAACAATTTATTTCGAAATGATTAAGCAGAGCGTAACACCGAGAAGAAGCTTCGATCGCTGGGACAACACTTTTATTCTGTGATGGATGTCGAATCGTCAGGCGAATAAAAGTGTTGCCCCAGCGATCGAGTCGTCTTCTTCTCAAGTACTTCCTAAGACTCGTATGCTCGCTTGTATTGGCAGAGACTAAATACTTAAGTTATGTGTATTTATCTGTTTTCACTACTCCAGCAAAGATACTACTAGTCGAACTTGACGAAAAAGTAAGTTAACGTCGCCGCTTTGCAAGGGTTTGCCCTTGTTTGAAACGGAAAAGTTTATAGAGTATCCATATTGTTGGTATGAAAATAATTCGTTCTACTGACAATTGGTGATAGCAACCACTTGCAGGGTTTGGTCATTTAAAGTGTTGAGGCGTACTGTGTCTGCTCACGAACGGTATGAGCTCTCAATTCTCTGCTTAATCAATCTCTTAAACAATAAGGATTTATCATTTATTCAGCTGTAAAAAAAACCCGTGGCCTCTGTGGGATTCAAACACACGACAATAAGCGTATCCCGACAAGGCCGCCGCATATTTCAAAATTGGGTCAAATGATGTATCAAATCTGACAAATCAATAAATAAAGTAAACGAGCTTGGTGATCAGCTGACGGATTCTAGATTGATTGCTTGGGAAATCCTGCTTGAGCCGGCTCCCGCCGGAGGCGTCGTAGTATTTGACAGTAAAATGCGATTTTAATACACTGGAATATTATGAAATAGAACATAGCAGGATCATACCCTGGATGTAATAGACCGTTGTCAGAATGATAGCTCAACATAAGCGCACAGTATTAATGAATATATATTAAAATATCGGCTTTTGACCGACTTTCTTTCCGGCCGCTCGAGTGAACTACAATCAGGTAGGCATGACTTATTATGTTGCATAAATATTTAATACTGATTTTTGATGCCCCTATATATGTAGGTATAAGTTGTAGGAGAAAGTCACTCAAGTATTCTCTATGGCAAATTCTCATTATCCCTTTGATATTCACAGGAAGGGTCTTTTTCGGTTTGTAACAGTTTTCATTCATAAAGCTTTGCGCATCTCCATGTATGTGTGTTCTTTGTGAAGCATAAAAACGGTCTGCATTTACTTTAAAAATTTAATGATCCGTTAAGAAAATATATTCAATACGAGAGAGGAAGTATAAAATGTACAGGTTGGAAACCATAGACCAAAGAGGTATTCACGTTGACTTGAAAATTATTCAGAAATTGAAAAGCCTTCTTGAAACCGCAAAATGATCTTATTCGAGCATGAAATCCCACGTAATCTGCTAAATCAGCTAAAACTATTTTTGTATAAGATTCTATGAAATGCAGGCGGCAGGAACAAAGGTCATTGGAAATCCGGCATTCTGGCATGACTAAATTAATGTGGGCTTTTGTTGCAGGATAATTAATAATGCAACCCACATTGGAATTGAAAACCCATTTTAGTGTATCGATAGTCACTTCAGGGGATAGCTGACCTAGCCGTTCGTGAATAGTGGAAATACTGACGTCTGCTCACAGGCTAAAAATGTTGTAACGCGTCTTCAGTCGTCTAATTGAGGTATTGCAGAAGGTAACAACAGATCGATTACTACGAAGGAAGTGAAACAAGCATAACGCATTACGGATGGAGCCGGCTCTATTGCGGTTTTATTGCCCAGTTTCTCTCTCCTTTCCCATGTAAACTTCAAAGTTTTTCTCATTTTTTCTGGTATTTTTTTGCATTCTTCTATGCACATCCGTAACACCTTCCTTGCCCGTTTGCTGACGGGCCTTTGCACCAATATTTGCATAATTTCTGCCTATTAAAAGGCTTCGTTGGTTGACGGTGAAACCTGGCTGCATTTTTATTCCCAGAAATCTATTCTTCGTTAATGAAAAAAACGTTCAGCTATCTAGCTGCGCAAATGAGCACAGAATTGAAGGTAACTCTTCGTGTAATAAGCAAATAAAATCTTTTATCTATCGTTTTCTTTGCTTAACGAGTTAAGACATATTTCTAAACAAGGTAATTGAAAAAAATAATGAGATTTTGTCTCACAGGCAAGCCTGAGTTAGAACCTTTAACTGGCAGTTGGAAGAGAGGTCACTATAATCCGTATAATTTTGGCGTGACCGTTCTGTTAAGTTCGAGAAAAAGCGAAGGACGTTCGTAACTTCACAATTATAAGACGAAACAATTGTTTTTGTCTTGTAAACCCCTAATGGGGTTTGGCGATTTTTAAGGTTCTTGTCGGTTTCTTAGCGTTTCTAACGTACGAGCTTCCTTTAGGGCATAGGGATAAATTCAACAAAGTTTATTTAATTGAGGTTGGCCTGTCCATCCACTTGGGCCTGCCACGACCTGATGACCTAAAGTAGACCTAGCTAAAATGTGCGTCCACGTCAAATTAAAAAAAAAACGCCATAAAATCTGAGGAAAAATCGCAGGATAAAAGTCCAATCTGCGTCATAGCAAGAATAAAGTGCATGGTTGCATATACACACAGGTATAAAATTCCAGAACCAAAAATTCATTTTTGAAAAAATAACAATATGTATTTTAAAATTATTCAAATAACGATCCCTCAGCACGTATACATCTGCGTTATGCATGATTAATCTCATTGATGCTGCGTAGAGAACAAACCATTCGTTTTGATGACCAGCAATGCGTGATTTCTTTTCTGCCTTAGTTTTATTTTTGAAAATCGTTTGATTAAAAAAGGTTAAAGATGCCTTAAAAATGGTAATCAGTTGATGATGTGTCTGAAATCATTGAATTTCTTTCATATCATTCTGGTAAAATGCTGTCGTGTGTTGTTGTGAAGAGGCATTTTGCCACATCGATTCTCTAGTTCAGGCGTAATTTTGCTCAGTTGAACAGGTATCACTTCGATGCTGAAACTAGTTGTCTCAGACGGTTCCCTGGCAGATTTCTATAGATTTTCCGCAAAAATTACTCTCAAACGTTCATCAGCAAAAGTGTATGGGCGTCCATTTCGTCATTTATTTTCAAGACTCTCATTGCCACCAGGAACTTTTCAATTTGCCTTCGTAATCTCAATCATTTCGACGCTTTTTCTCATGGTTTGTTGATATTGCTGATCGTTTGGGAAGCAGTATGGCCACATTTGAATTCATGCTAGAAACGTAGACTCGACTCTTCTTTTTCCTACTATATATTAAAAATTATACTCGGAGAGAGCACATCAATTATTCAGCATGTAAACTTTTACATAAAATACTCCAAAATAGCACTTACTTTCATTTTCGTAAAACGAGTCGAAAATTCGGCCAGTATTTTCCGACTTACCTAATATTATAATACAGTAATTAAGTTTTTATCGTCACTTTTTTAAGCTTCTCTGTGCCATAGGGAACAATAATGCCTATTCGTCGCCTACAACTGAAGCCCTACTTATATCATCATCTTATAGGTTTCTGCCTGGTATAGGAGATTTTGCGCCGATAAGGAGAACCAAAAATGAGGCTATGCATGTGTGTCTCAATGCGCTTGATCCAAGCGCTGCATTTCAACACGCAGTCCCTTTTAGGGGCGGTTCGTTGGCCGGAGAAGACAGTGGCATATCTCGTCCCGTCTATCTTATCACTGCAGCATGGCATGATGAGACTCTGCTTTGGCACACAAAAAACAAATTTTAATTGTGCTTTGACAACGACCTTGTCAACAACGCATAACTGCCGAGTGCGCGACCACCCATGCACCACCAGTTCATGGGCGCAGCTCATTTCACTGCATTTTAACTTTCCCAACCCAAGCTAACTTGATGCTTGCAATCCCAGCCAATCTGACTGCTGCAATTGAGACAATTTTTGGGCAGTGTCTAACACAGCGTGATCTGCAGATTTTTTTGATAGCATTAATTATTTTTCCTATATCCTAACCTTTGACTGTGTTCAGGGGATATTTTTCACACAACTATCTATGGTTACTGCCAGAAGCAGAACCGGTAACTATGAAATCTATCTTGATTTATTGTTTACTCTTTTGGGAAGATTGGGATGGGTTGCATTATCGTAAGTACTCTTCATATAATTATTGACCATACTGACGGTACGGGTACTAGCTAAATGCCCAGACGCGTGTTTCTCGATTATTCTACTGTATGACAGTTAGTAAGGTCTGGTGGTACCAGAGCTGCGGGATTCATATAAACCTCTTTAGAGAATTCTGAGTTTTGTAGATAAAGCCAATACCAGAAGTTTTTGGGCAATTTTATTAAGGCATAAATTCGGTCGTTTATAATTAGGCCAGGAGTGAATACTCCACCTTTCATGACATTCAATTCAAAAGATCAAAAACTCAAAACTGAATCGTAACTTTTACAAACGTTGGAGGGGTATTTGCCGATAAGTTTTGTTCCGGTCAACCCGTGAAGCAATTGTTCATCGTTTGACAATGGCCGTCCGGTCTTTCTCTCAGGTATTGTATGGCTGATGAACGACAAATAATAAGCCAGAAACCGTCGCCTCATTCTTTATTTTCTTGGTTGGCATGGTTATACAGTTAGCTTTGAAACCGACTTCAGCACGCCATTCCTTATTTTTCTTATGCTCTTACCGTTGAGTGCATTCAGCGCATATTTTTCATACAATTATATTTGGTGACTGCCGAAAGCAGAAGCGGTAACTATGACATCTATCTTGATTTGTTATTTTACCTTTGGGGCCTTCGCTTTGAACTGGCAGTATAGCAAGTATATTTGCGAGTTTGTGCCCCGGATGGGAAACGTGCACAATCCTTTCCTTGCGTAAATATTTAG